ATCTGTCAGTTCTTTGCCTCAGTATACTTTCACCCTGATGAGGAGTGGAGGATGACCTGGATGACCAATGGCCGTAAGTTGACTGCTACTTGGAAGGAGTTCATGGACCTGCTCCATGTTCCTGATGACGGGCTCAACACTCCCGTGGGTGTCTGCCCCCATGCTAATTCTGAGTCTGCTAACAAGGACAAGCTTCAGCCATACTATGTTGAGAAGACGCTTGCAAATGGCAAGTCAGCGTGGGTGCTCAACTCCTTTCTGGATATCATGTATCGCATCTTCCGCAACTCATTGTTTCCCTGCATTGGTGACAAGGACAAGGTTCATGCCTATATGGTGGATATGATGCTCCTGTGTGAGGAGGCTCATGTGTCTCAGACTCAGCCACTTGATGTCTCACACATCATGTGGTGTGAGCTTCGGTTTGCGGTGTTCAACCGCAAGGTGCCTATCTATGGGCCCTATCTGTTTCTGCTGATCTCGAAGACTTGGGAGAATATGTTCCCTGGTGATGAGTTCCTTGCTCCAGACTGGATTCGACATGATCCCATCTGTCTCCGTGTCAAGCCCAACTGGGCCAACACTACTACTTGTGCTGAGGCGTCTGCTGCTAGGGCTGCTGTTGATGGGGAGGATGCTGGCGCAGAGGATGTTGCTGAGGGTCGTGCTGCTAGGTCTTCCCATAGTTCCTCTATGCCCTCGTGGGCCAAGAAGCTGAAGGACAAGATGAAGACTCTTTTCTGCATGCAAGCTAAGTGGCAGTACAGGACTCACGTGGCATCCAAGGAGAGTCGTCGCCGGGACAAGAAGATCTTGCAGCTGTATGGCGAGGATGTGTCTGGCGGTTCTGAGGATCGCATCACTCCAGAGGCCGAGTGGATGGAGAAGCAAGGCTACAGGTGGACTGATTCTGAGGAGGACGTCGAGGAGACCATCCCTGCTGCCGAGGAATCTGACGAGGATCATTGGGATGAGTTCCCTGCTTGAGCCACCCCCTGTGTGTAGGTGTCCTCTTTGCCTTTTTGGCGTCTCGATGCCAAAGGGGGAGAGAGTGGTAGGGATTTGCGAGTCGTGTGTCGTCGTTCGCGTTCGGTGTGTTTGCTTTCTCATTTGAACCTCATTTCAGTTGCTTTGGGTTGCTTTACTTCATATGGTGTAAGACATATGCACTCTATCTATCTTAGCGAGCTTGTGATATATTGTGCTACCTTTGTGCTATGCTCTTGCTTAGATGTTAGTTATCATGCCTTTGTCTCTAAAATATAGGGGGAGTGTTGATCCTAGTTTGTGTGCTATGAAGTCCAAAGCATCCATCTAGATTGCACACATCTAGGGGGAGCCCGTCTATATTCTAGAGAGGAGGGATTTGCCTTTGCTCAATATTATCTCATCTATGTGCAAATCCCGTATTATCATCAATCCACCAAAAAGGGGGAGATTATAAGGGCATATTTATCCCTAAGGTGTTTTGGTGATTGATGACAATGCTTTTGCGGACTAATCGTGTGCCTTGAGTTTCTCAGACGCTTCATCACTAGGCACGAGACGATTCGGTGCCCCTCGAAGACTATTGAAGACGGCGTTGTTCTACGTTTCTTTTTGGTGGATTTGAGTCGTAGGAGAGCCGTACTATTAAGAGGGGGTGCGCGTCGGAAAGGTTCGGGTGGAATCATCTCGTACACCTTTCCTTCCTTGCCTCCACCTTTCCCTTGCACTTTGGAGCTTTCCTCGGTTATCCTCTTTGTGCTTTTTCTGACGGCTACTGCTGAACTTGCGGTAGTACTGCTCTATGGAGCGGTAGTACTGCAAGCACCTGCGGTAGTACCGCTGGAGCCCACGGTAGTACCGCTCCTCTGGAGTCTTAGTACTGTGGCTCCCTGGCCTAGTGCCGCTTCGGTATGGTAGTAGGGGCGGATGTAATTTTTTACATCCGCGCCCCCACGGTAGTACCGCTCATCCCGCGTGGTAGCACCGCGGGTGCCCACGGTAGTACTGCTCTCCCGGAGTCATAGTACCGTGGCCCTCATACCTAGTACCGCTGCGTCGCGGTAGTAGGAGCGGATGTAATTTTTTACATCCGCACCTCCACGGTAGTACCGCGCTTCGTGCGCGGTAGTACCGCGCACGGCCTGGTTCTGCTGGGTTACGGTAGTAACGCGCCTTAGCGGTAGTACCGCGTCGGATTTTTGCACTATTTCGTTTCCAGCGGAAGTAGGCACGGATGTATTTTTATTCATCCGCGCTCTTCGTAGACTAGAACTTTCCTGCCTTGCGGTGGTACCGCAAGGGGGAGCGGTAGTACCGCGCTCGCGGAAGTACTGCTCTCAGTCAGGCAGGTCCTAGTCTCTGCTGCTGCCGCAGAAGTATTGTGGTCCCTCATGGTAGTACCGCGGGGCCTTGCGGTAGTACCGCGCCCCTGGAGCGGTAGTACCACATGTTGCGGGCTGGATATGTGGATAATGGTTGGATCTTTTCCATAGCTATAAAAGGGGCGTCTCGTACCTCTAGTTGACAACCTCTTCCACCTCTAAGCTCCATTGTTGCTCTAAGCTCCATTTCGTCCGATCTCTCTCCCTAGCCAATCAAACTTGTTGATTTGCTCGGGATTAGTTGAGAAGGCCTCGATCTACACTTCCACCAAGAGAGATTTGATTCCCCCCATTTATCCCTAGCGGATCTTGTTACTCTTGAGTGTTTGAGCACCCTAGACGGTTGAGGTCACCTCGGAGCCATACTCCATTGTGGTGAAGCTTCGTGGTGTTGTTGGGAGCCTCCAATTAAGTTGTGGAGATTGCCCCAACCTTGTTTGTAAAGGTTCGGTTGCCGCCTTCAAGGGCACCAATAGTGGAATCACGGCATCTCGCATTGCGTGAGGGCGTGAGGAGAACACGGTGGCCCTAGTGGCTTCTTGGGGAGCATTGTGCCTCCACACCGCTCCAACGGAGACGTACTTCCCCTCAAAAGGAAGGAACTTCGGTAACACATCCTCGTCTCCACCGGCTCCACTCTTGGTTATCTCGCACCTTTACTTTTGCAACCTTACTTGTGTTGTATCCCTTGCTTGCTCGTGTGTTTGTTGTTGTTGCATCATATAGGTTGTTCACCTAGTTGCATATCTAGACAACCTACTTTGATGCAAAGTTTAAATTGGTAAAGAAAAGCTAAAAATTGTTAGTTGCCTATTCACCCCCCCCCTCTAGTCAACTATATCGATCCTTTCAAATGGGATATCAATGCCATTAATTCTCAAATGGCTCACTTCTTTTGGGGAAATATTGGGGACCAACACAAATACCATCTAGCTAATTGGGTTTTTGTTACTAGGAGGAAAGAGTATGGAGGGTTAGGGATCCCTAACATCAAAGAATTTAATATGGCCTTATTAGCTTCATGGGGCAAAAGGTTCTTTGATGGATCTGATGCAGATTGGAAAAAAAATCATCTGTTACAAGTATAGAGTGAATACTCCTAACATACTTTGTGCAAAGGAGATGGTGGCTCTACCTTTTGGAAGAGCATCACTTGGGCGTTAGTTGCTGCTAAAAATTTCTACAGATGGAAATTAGGCAATGGTGAATTAATTAGCTTCTGGCATGATACCTGGATTGGGGAATGTTCCCTGAAGGTGCAATTCTGGGACTTATATTGTATTTGTAACCAAACGGAGTGTACTGTGGCTCAGGTGTGGGACGGTCAGGAACTTAAGTTATCTTTTAGGAGATGCGTAGACCAAAGTGGGTTGAACAAATGGGATTTGCTGTTGAGACTTGTTCAGCAGTGTATGTTATCAGATGAACCTGATATGCCGATTTGGTCCTTGGAACCTAATGTGTTATACTCTGTGAAATCTTTCTATAAAAGCATCAACTTTGGGAGGATAGCTTCTGCTATCAAAGATGATCTTTGGAAAATTATGTGCCCTCAGAAGATACATGTATTCTTGTGGTTGTGTGCTCATAATAAAATTCTGACTAGGGATAACCTTTCTAAAAGAAGGGAGGTGGAGGACCCTTCTTGTCTTTTTTGTGCAGAACTCGAATCTGTACAGCATTTGATGTTTGATTGTGTAGTTGCTCGACATGTGTGGGGATTTGTATCCGATTTTTTTGAAATTGATAGAATTGCTAGTTTTGATGATATCTTTGCTTTCTGGCAAGTTCATAAAAAGAAACCTATGCTCAACATGGTTATTGCTGCTTCCTTATGGAGCTTGTGGAGACTAAGAAACAGTTTCTGTTTTCAGGGGCAGAAATGGAGAAACGTGAACTGCATTCTTGCAAAACTAAGCTGTTATTTGCATCAGTGGAAGGTTCTCTGCGACGATGCTCAAGCAACCCTGCTGCAAAGGTGTATCCTTCTGTTGGACAAGCGACGTGGAGAACTGATGCGGATAGCCTGGAAGTGAAATGTGGGAGGGGAGCATGAAAGGTGCGCGAGAAAATCTTCTGTGTTCCCTCTCTTTCTGATCTGGTTATGTAATAAGTACCTTCTGATCTGGTTATGTAATAAGTAATACCTAGTTTCTGTTTCCTACTCTGTTGGAGAGAACTTCTGCTCTCGTGCGCTAGGTAGTGTAGTCTCCTAGTGTGTTGCTTTATTCTCTGATTAGGCACATTGTGGATCTGGTTGTGACTGCTTTTTCTGCTTCAATTTATAAAGTTGGGGCGGGAGGCAACCCCTTTCATTAAAAAAAATAATTATTTTACTATATACTACTTCCCCGCTCCTAAATGTAAGTGTTTTTAGAGATTTCAATAGAGACTACATACATGAGCGAATCTATATACTTTAAAATATGTCTATTATCTAAAAAACTTGTGTTTAGGAATGGTGGTATATTTTTCTAATAAAAAAAGGATTTTTTGTATAGGCAGTCAACATGAGATTGACGCGGGGGACCCGCTTGGTCAAATAGTACCACGCAGGTCATCTCCACGAGCCATTCTCGCTCGCACCACCGTTCCTCATATCCCCTCGCCGCCGCCGCCGCCGCCGCCGCCATGCTCCGGCTACGTGGCTGCGTCCTCACCCAGCTCCTCTCTTCTCCAGCCACCTCTCCCGTACCCCATCTCCGCCGCCTCCTCTCCGCCGCAGCGCCCGCCATCTCCCCAAGCATCGGGTTCGCCGTGGAGGAGTACCTCGTCGCCACCTGCGGCCTCACCCGACCCCAGGCCCTCAAGGCCTCCGCCAAGCTCTCCCACCTCAAGTCACCCGCCAAGCCCGACGCCGTGCTCGCCTTCCTCGCCGGCCTCGGCCTCTCCGCCGCCGACGTCGCCTCCGTCGTCGCCAAGGACCCGCAGTTCCTCTGCGCCAGCGTGGAGAAGACCCTGGCCCCCGTCGTCGACGGGCTCACCGGCCTCGGCCTCTCGCGTCCTGAGATCGCGCACCTCGTCTCGGTCGCCGGCGAGAAGTTCCGCTGCAGAGCCATCATCGGCAGGCTGCGCTACTACCTGGCCCTCTTCGGCTCCTCCGGGAAGCTCCTCCGGGTGCTCGACCGCAGCCCCTACATCCTCTCCTCCAACCTCGAGAGGGTGGTCAAGCCCAACGCCGCGTTCCTGAGGGAGTGCACGATAGGTGCTTGTGATATTGCCAAGCTGTGTGTCGCGCAGCCGAGGATGCTCACCTCCAACGTGGAGCGCGTCCGGGCGATGGCGGCGCGCGCCGAAGGCCTAGGCGTGCCCCGTGGCTCCAGGATGTTCTGGCGCATGCTGAATGCCCTTGCGTTTCTCCGCGAGAAGGATGTCGCCGCCAAAGTGGACTACTTGAAGGACACCTTCAGATGGTCCGATGCTGAGGTGGGCATTGCTCTTCGTAAGGCCCCGGTGGTGCTGGCGCTGTCCAAGGGCCTGCTGCAGAGGAAGTCGGAGTTCCTGATCTCCGAGGTGGGGTTGGAACCGGCATACATTGCTTATCGCCCGACATTGCCCACTTACAGCCTGGAGGGCCGGCTAAGGCCCCGGTACTACACTTTGAAGTTTCTCAAGGAAAATGGATTGCTAGATCATGACCGAGACTACTATTGTGCAGTCATGCTGCCAGAGGAGGTATTCATGGAGAAGTTCATATGTCCTCACAAGGAAGCTGCACCACAGCTCGCTGAAGACTATGCAGCAGCTTGCAAAGGGGAAGTGCCGGCTAGATTCAGATTTACATGAACCAAGGCCTGTACGAAAATTTCGTAACCGGGTGTATGACACAGCAGAAGTTTCACTCTCCGCATCAAGCCGCTCATTCCTGATTCAATGATGTTGGCCTAAACTTAATGGTGGTTGGCTGCTACCTACAATCTATAGCATGTATGTTACGTTCTCATTTGGTGGTGCTAATCCAGGATGAAACTGATATTTTGATTTGTGAGCCTTGGTATGCTCGTTATGTCATTCAGTAGGAAGAAAGCATTGCGCTGCTATTAACTTGCCCCTCCTCATGTTATTGACACATATATTGGAACTAAGAGAGTGTGAGATCACGGCATCGTACAAATGCTTTGAAGTGAGTAGTATTTCTGTGCACACTGTCTTTATGTTCTGAAATAGCCATGGCAGTTTTCAATACAATCCTTAATCTATCTTTGCATGAAAAAGTGTTCTCATTCTGGCCTTGATGATGATACGATGCCTCAAACTTCCCTTTGGATGAAAATTTTGAACTTCTTTTTCCACGAGAAACATTTTTGGATTTGTTGATGGCATATTTGCCACATTGTGCGGATCACTGTTGAGGATGCAGTTTTGATCTGGTTTGGGCTTGCTCTAGTTCTTCTAAGATGAAAATCTTCATTCTTCCTTAGATATTAACTTTAGTGAAAGCAGGCCATTGTTCATTAGTTTGTATCAGTTGATTTGTTTATTTGTCTCATGTATTTTTGGATGGCCTACAAGCTGATACTTTTCCAGGGGCATCTGATCTCAGAAATGAATAGTTTAGTAGCAGGCTAGTGGCATTTTTCTTGGCAGTCTACTTGTATATCACTACATAACAGATATTTCAAATGCCCTGGTATTTGTACCGGAGAAGCAAATCGATAGTTGTATGGTGTGGTGTTGAAAAGCAGATGTCATCTCACAATAAGGGAATTTATGTTATGGTAACCTTAAAAAGGCTTATGACATCATTACTATGTTAATTCAGCCATACCTGAGCATATTTTTTTAGGATAGTAAAGTGGTATTATGCACTTCCCTTATTTGCAAATTCTATCTGGGAAGTCGGTAAAGGAAAAGAAAAAAGCCGGATGGGAGGCCTTGTTGTATAGAATCTTGCAGAATTTCAAACATAAAAGGAGTAGTAGAGTAGACATGCTCTGCTATGTACCTCAATTTAAGAACCAAATTGTGTGAGGATGGTGCACATTTGTTTGTTCCTGATGTGAAACTGGATGTAGATGGTGCTTTTGACTTCTTCCGGTGGACAAGATGAAACATGACAGCCATGACTTTGATATACTATGCATGATTCTGAAGGCTCTGTCCTGAAGCTTACAAGTATGGCCTGACGACAGCATGGATTTAATTCAGGGAAGCTCCTACTTCTCTAACTTTTTTGAATTTTATTTTCTGTCCTGTAACAATCCGACATGCATTTTATTTCTCAAAGAAAGGAGAAAATGTGCAAGAAATTTCTATTGTTGTTTTAGGATCAAGATCTTTCGGATATCATACTATTACTTTCTTCTCTTTATTTTTGTAAACTCATGATGAAATGATGATGTGCGTAGCTGTCCAATGCAATCCACTTAAATGGGTATATTTTCATGTGAGTTCACCAAAAGTTAAATGCATAAAATCGTTTTACCTTAAAGTATAAAGGGCACATTTAGTCTCTAATACACTGAAGACCTGTGATGAAAACCACTTAACCGAGTGCAAAGAGTAGATGATTTCGCCATTCTTATTTCTGGAATTCATTTGTCCAACATTTCGCTGAACGTTGTGTGTGCAGATGCGAGAAAGTAAAGAATTGGAAGAATGTATGTAGGGTAAGATTTTGGAGAAGAAGAGCACTATTGTCCTCTGATATTGCTTTCCTCATTTCTGTACACACTTTGGATATTGGTTCTCTTTACTAGTTACTCATGCCCTACTTATTTGCTGCATGGTTTACAAGGCAAAGCTGAAAGCACGAATACAAGGCGAGAGGATGTGTCTTAGGCAAACCATGTCCCTTCCGTGAGTTTTCATCTCTACTCTACAGAGGTAAGTCAGATAACTGCCATAATTTCCGGGCTTAATTCAGAAGTGGTCTTCTGCCTACTGTCGGCACCTTGCCCTTCATGTAGTAAGTTTACTGGACATGTTTGATTCCCTGTAAGCGAGTACGATAGGTTGACAGTCCCATCCATGAATTCATTTATGAATCTGCAAAAGAAGAGCGCGATATGTGTTGTTCTGTTTTTTCCGTACATTAAAAGAAGTTGTTGTATGATGGCGGGCGAGCATGTAATACGACAGCGGGTTGTTTTTCCAGCTAAGTGGGTCTCCACAGTTCGAAACTACATCTTCAGACTTGGCTGCTGGATGGATATGCCTATCGACCTCACATTTTGGTTCTGTTTTTCAGTTTGAGTGAAGCACCTTGGCTGAGCCGGCTACTGTTCTTGCGCGGGGCAACGGCGAGCGCCATGCCGCCGTGCCACTGCCCGGTGCCATGGGATTGAACTTGGTGCTATCAGCTGGCACGATGGGGATAAACGTACTGGGCATTGCTTCGGCTAAGTTCACGGCCGTGTCCACTTTGCCTGGGAAAACACATTTCAAAATCTTGATTCGGTCGATAAAAGGTGCCATTTCAAGATCTTATCGGCCGATAAAACACATTTCACTGGCCATTGAGGAGTTAAGAAAGTGGCCGGACCTAACCGAACCCCTCAAATGAACTCGATCCCACATGAATGATCCCTCGGTAGGGTATCCCGACATGGTGATTAGGTCGGAGAGGAAACATGAGACGGTTTTACCCAAGTCCAGGCCCTCTGTATGAGGTAAAACCCTACTCCTGCTCTGTGTATATTTTGATTGAGGTGTACAGAGTACATGTAATACCGATTGAGTTCTATTGACTAGCCCGGCCCCGGCTTATATAAGATACCAGCCCTCTAGGGTTACAAGAGTCTTAGTCGGTTACGTCTGTGGAGGGGAGTCCTCTGTGGATTCAGCTTCCTTGCCTTGAACGACAAGGCTTCTCGAATGTTCCTCCCCCGGAGCGCATGGGCCGGCATGGTGGTCCAGGGTGGAAACCCGACCTAGGGGTCCTTGGGCCAGCATGGTGGTCCAGGGTGGAAACCCGACCTAGGGGTCCTTGGGCCGGCAATGGGGGCAAGGTGAGGCACCCCTGTGCCATAACACCGTAAGAAGTGGAAGGAGGAAGCGGTTACTGAGAACTTGTCGTGGCCCCTTAAAAGTAAAAGAGTTGGATTTTTTAGTTATTTTTTAGGAATTAATTGCCTAGGAGTTCAGCTAGGTGCAGTTAACTCCTCAAAAGACAATATTTCGAGGAGTTAACCTTTTCAAGGGATCGGCTAGAGACGCCCTGACTTGGGAAAAAAACTAACCACAACCTTGCTCCGGCATTTGCATCAAGTATGGTTTCAATGTGATCACATTTCTTGCAATTCGTGGTCACTCAATCTCCCTCGGCACGTGATTAGGGCACACATGTTTATGTTCTTGGAATCAAAACGAGAAAGAAAAAAGAATACACATCTATTTTTAGGGAGAAAAAAAGACAATCCAAAGTTTTTTTTGAGACACAAGATTATGTAAACAACAACAACGACAACAACAACAACAACAACAACAACAACAACAACAACAACAACAACAACAACAAGCTTTATTATTCAATCTCCACAGCTTGCGGGATACAAATCAGATCGTGGGGTTGACCCAACCGCCTCCGATTTAATGAATGCGAATGCTTGGCTAATAAATTGGCCTCGAAGTTAGTCAAACGATTTTCAAAATGAAAAATACATTTTTTAACCTAAATACAATTGAAATGTAAGGCTCTTAGTTTGATCTCCTCGATAATTTGCCCATATATGCCACTGCCCACTAGTTCCATTCTGAACTTCTTTTTTTGGTTGAGAAATTCTCTTCTGAACATCTTTTAGGGCATTTTGAGCTGATCTAAAATTCTAAATGGGTCTCTATAGTCTAACTCAGCCCAGCCCAGCCCATCAAGGTTGGACCAGACGCCACACCGACGCAAACCCTCACCACTCCCCCCTCCGTCTCGCACCATTCCCTCGCCGCCGGCGCCGCCTCGCCGACGCCGCCATGCTCCGGCTCCGGCGCAGCGTGCTCGCCAAGCTCCTCTCGTATCCCTCCGTCTTCCCCGTCTCTCCTCTCCACCGCCTCATCTCCACCACGGCGCCGGCCCCCGCCGTCGCCCCCAGCACCGGGTTCGCCGTCGAGGACTACCTCGTCTCCACCTGCGGCCTCACCCGACCCCAGGCCGTCAAGGCCTCCGCCAAGCTCTCCCACCTCAAGTTCCCCTCCAACCCCGACGCCGTCCTCGCCTTCCTCGCCGGCCTCGGCCTCTCCGGCGCCGACGCCGCCGCCCTCGTCGCCAAGGACCCCAAGTTCCTCTGCGCCGACGTGGGGAGAACCCTGTCCCCCGTCGCCGCGGGGCTCGCCGGCCTCGGCCTGTCGCCTTCCGAGATCACCCGCCTCGTCTCGCTCGCCCCCGACAAATTCCGCTGCAGATCCATCGTCGCCAAGCTGCAGTACTACCTGCCTCTCGCCGGTTCCTACGAGAACCTCCTCGGGGTGCTGAGGTATGGCTCCTGCCTCGTCTCGTCCGACCTGGAGAGGGTGGTCAAGCCCAACGTCATCTTCCTGCGGGCGTCCGGGCTAGCTGACTGCGACATTGCCAAGCTGTGCATCACTCTGCCATGCCTGCTCACCTCCAGCTTCGAGAGCATCCAGGCGATGGTGCTGTGCGCCGAAGGCCTCGGTATACGCCGTCAATCCGGGATGTTCAGGCACGCGCTGCATGCCGTCGCATTTGTCGGCCAACAGAAGGTCACCGCCAAATTGGATAACTTGAAGAAGACGTTTGGGTGGTCAGATGCGGAGGTCGGCATTGCTGTGTCCAAGTATCCGATGCTGCTGACGAGGTCTCACCACATGCTGCAGAGCAGGTCAGAGTTCCTGATCTCCGAGATGGGGTTGGAACCGGCATTCATTGCTCATCGGCCCGTAATTGTCTGTCTTAGCCTGGAGCGCCGGCTCAGGCCCCGGTACTACGTTTTAAAGTTTCTCAAGGAAAATGGATTGCTCAAGGGTGATCCGAGCTATTATACAGTTGTCAAGGTGAATGAGAATGTTTTCATGCGGAGGTACATGTGCCCTTACAAGGAAGCTGCGCCATACCTCGCTGAAGACTATGCAACCGCTTGCGGAGGGGAAGTGCCGGCTAGATTCGTATTTGCATGAACTGAGAACACAATATTGAAATTTTGATGCTTACTGTACCACACATTCCACTTTATGCAGTAAGCTTGTAAGCTTTCTTTCAGTGTTATTACCTAACTAAATGTTGGCTGTCTGATATAGTATGTCTGTCAGACTGTCACTGCTTGTTTGTTAGTTGTTAATGCTTGATGAAGCTAATTATTAGAGTCATGACTCCTGGTATCTCCATGTCAATCGTTCATTAGAGAAGAAAGCATGGCATGGTTATGAACTTGTTCATCCTTGTGTCATATCGACACACATATTGAAAGTAAGAGAGTGTTAGATCAGTTCATTCTGCAAATATCAGTGAGTATGTATGCACTCTTGATATCTTTCCATGAAGGAAGATCCTCAGTTTGGCCACGGAGATGATATGAGCTAGTCTAATTTCAAATGAACTCACAAAAATTCCCTTTGAAGAAAATTCTGTACCCCACCTTTTTTTTGGGAGAGGGGGGGGGGGGAGGCTATTTTTGGTTGATTGCCACAATGTGTTGGTTTCGATGATGCAGTTTTGATTTAGTTTGTTGGTTCCTTGCTCTATTTCTTGTAAGCTGAATATCTTCATTCTTTCTGCAGTATCTTTGTTTGAAGATGCCAAATGCTGTGAAAGTAATTCATGATTTACTAGTTTGTATCAGTTTTTTTTATTTATTTTTCTCCTATATTTCTGATTAGCCTAATTGCTGATGCTTTCAGTTTGAGGCACAACTTGACTCAAAACTGAATAATGCAGTAGTATATTATCTTTGTACGTCCTATTATCTCCTCCAAGTACTATGGCTGGTAAACTAAAGCCTCTTCTGATTTGCACCAATCAGGGGTTACATGTGTTCTTTAACAGGTATGAATGAAGCTATGCTGTTAATTTGTTATATAATGATTTAAGCCCAGCAGATTGTTAGAATGTTTAACCTAAGTTGAGCGTGTTATCCAACCTGCCTAGAATGTTTACAGGCTATGCTTTATGCAAACAGAGTTAGGCATTAACAGATGCAAGCTGGCTCCGCTAGATGGCATCTAATCTATTTGTCAGTGCTATAAAAACATATCTTCACAACTATATTGAGCTTTTACTGCTGCCCTTTGTATTAAAACATGTTAACGCTGGATGTGATACTGGCAACATGAATTATCAGCTACCTAGAATGTTACTGTCTGGAAAACATAATGCTAAGTCTATCTGCGTATTTGACAACTTTCCTACTTACATATGATGCCAAGTGTGCATTAAAGTTTATGCCCTTTTTGTTTGATTGTCAGGCTGTGGCTGTATACCGTTTGATGTTGTGAGCTCTTGTTGCGGTACCGGATAAACTCTTAATAATCCATGCTTTCTGTGGATTCTGTCTCCTCGTTATGTCAGGTGCCTATCCGATTTTTTCCTTCAATCTTTGGAGTACTGCTATAGAAAATTGACCTCCATCAGGTTTGAACGGATTGCAGATAAATTTTCAGGTCTTCAAGGAGACGTGGGATAGGGAGGCAGGGTGGAGATGTGCGCCGGAGATCAGAAATCTGACTGCCGGCGGCCGCCTCCAGTGGTTGTCGTTTGGTGGTCAGATAGCTTGACCAGGGCACGAAAGCCAGGCAAGACCACAAGACTAAGAGGCAAACTCTTTTTTTTTTCCTGTGATGAACCACCCTTTTCATTTGCCACTTGGACAGTTTGCTCTATTCACGCCCTGTTTAGTTTGCTCTATGAAAATATGCAAAGATGGCTACAAACAATTGCAAACATGCCATTTCATCAATTATACTGTGTTGCCAGTTTAGAAAGTGGCAAAGTGCATCATTTCATTTATTTTTTCCGAACTCCCTTTTCGTGGTGTTTTCTAATTTGTCTCTCTGTTTCCTGATCTAACTCAAGTACTGTTATTTAGCTTGCAAGGCTGGTGATCCTCGGCATGGAGAAACGAGGAACCAGACGTTGGAGATTTTTTAATTTCTTCATATGTAAAAATGGATCTTGGTAAGTAGTTCCCTCATGTATGAAGATGTGCCATGTGGCTAGTGCCATCAAACTCTTGTTACCCCAACCAATATACTAACTGCAATATTCTTTAACTACTCAATCAGAACTGCTCCTCATACTGGCATGTTACCGAGATGTTTCCTTGGTGTTTCCTCTGACAAATAATTTATGGAACCATTTATTAAAAATTGTATCTATGTGGTTTGACTGAACCCTAGGAATGTAACCCTACGTGCATGGACTGTTCCAAGTTCATGGTAAATTAAGCAGCCCAATGTGTTAATGCAATTGCTATTCCTTGTAGGCATCACGAAATGTTCAGACTAAATTTGATATATCTTATAATTCTACTTGAAAAGACGAATAAGGCAACAAGCCATTCAAGGAATTGCCAGTCTGAAGCCATGTAGTGAGTTGAGAAACACAATTGCGTTAGTTGCAGCCAATTCAGAGGCATGCCCGATGAATGTGGTTCAGAACAGTGAATATTTGTGTATTTGTTCAAAAAGGCTAAATAGTGTTAGTTTCTGCCACAAGTACATATACAGCTATACTAAACCTGATACATGCATTATAACTTACTTTCACGCTGAGTTTTTTTTCCATTGTCTGGGATAGAAACCTGTGCGCTGACATTCTTTTTGTGTTGGCAACCTTCTGCTTCTGGTGTTATAAAGCTGTCTTCATTTTTACTCAGTGCCTCTAAGAGCATTGTTGCGGAATGGTTTACCGAAAGTTTTGGACACCGCAGCTGATACTGTTATATCGACAGTTGAATCCAGCAGCTGCTTACGCATTCAGTTCTTAATTAAAAAAAAGAGTGACGTCAGGAGCTATAACCTAGATTGATCTGAGGTGTTGCATTTGCTGGCTATTCTTTATGCAAACCAGAGCTAGGCTCGACAGAAACTAACTTCCACCTGATGGGATTTGTTTTTCAGCGCTGTAAAAATATATCTGCACAAGTATATCAAGATTCTACTGCTGAACTGTGCTACCGAAGAGGTTTCTGCCCTGGGAGCAGATAATTAAATTCATCTGCCTTATCTGCGTACTTTTACAATTTTATGCATGATATCTTTTTTTTTGAGGGAATTGACAGTGGGAGAGAACTCCCACTGTATTTTCATATATCTATATAAATGGGGTGTTTACACAGACATACCGCTCACATACATCATCGTCACTCCTGGTGTTACCACCAGGGGTGGGCAACTACTCCACACTTACTGGAAAGCACTAGGCTAAGGCCGCGTTCGGACTCCCTCCGCTCCGCGCCGGAGCGGAGTGGCTTGCTAGGTATAATATGCAGAGCTGCTAAAAGGGCGCTCCGTCGGCTCCGCTCCGCGGAGAGCGGCCGAACAGGCCCTAAGTGTATGTTACAAAAGTATGAAATACAGAAAAGACTCAACTAAGTGTGTCACAGTAAGAGAGCAGGGCAGCTCTATGGGCCACCCTAACTCTATGTTGCAGAAGTCTCAAATCCTCCTTGAAGCGAGCAAACCAGGATGCAATGCTTGGGGCAATACCTCTGAAGTGCTTGTTATTTCTTTCCTTCCACAAGCTCCAGGCAGCAGTGTAGAATACTTCGACAAAGAAGGGATTGGGCCAATCCGTTTGCGCGTTGTGGAGCGCGGTGAACCTATCTTGAAAATCATGCCAGTACAATGTGCAGCTTGGCCCAGCACCTCCCACTGAATGGGCAAGTAAAAACCATATGTTCAAGAGTCTCATCAACATTGTGCCCGCAGAGAAGACACGTGAAATCACTACCAATGTTGTAGTGTCTTCTCCGTAGCATATCACGTGTATTGAGCCTATCTTGCAGTAGCAGCCATCCGAATACTTTGATCTTCATCATACAGTTAGATTTCCAAAGCCTCCTGAAAGCAGGGTGAGCTGTTGCAGTCTTAAAGTAATTGTTGTAGTAATCTTTTGGTCTATAATCAGCATTGCCCCAAATATAACGCCAGATGTCGGTCGTTGCTGTTGATGGGTTTATTTTGAGCGAGGCCTGCTGAATATCTTGCACCTCACTATGAGCCAGAGGAGACAGCGGTAGGTGAAAAGTTTCATGCAGATATGTGGTGGCCCAGAAGCCAGCAACCGAAATGTCTTCATGCAAAGCAAATGAGAAGGCACGGGGATGCGATGCCTGAAGCACGTCGTTGGACCACAAATCCTTCCAAAGCAGCGTGGTCGAGCCATCCACCACTTGCACACGTGAAATTCCTCGGTAGATGTGCGATAACTTGAGGATGTCTTTCCACCGAAAGGACCCGACCGAATCCATAGCATGTGGCACTTGGTTGACGTACTGATTGTCCCAAAGCATGTTAACCCAAGGAATGTCAAGTTTGTTATAGAACTTATGTAGAAACTTCAGCAGGAGAGCTTCATTGTGGATTTTAATATCAATCACTCCTAATCCATCTTTGCTCTTGGGTTTGCAGACCATATCCCAAGCAGCCAAAGAATTGCACTAATCACCTTGCTCAGTTTTCTTTGTCCATAAGCATCTTCTGTTGGGGAACGTTGCAGAAAATTAAAAATTTTCCTACGGTTTCACCAAGATCCATCTATGAGTTCATCTAAGCAACGAGTCAAGGGAGAGAGTTTGCATCTGCATACCACTTGTAGATCACGAGCGGAAGCTTGCCAAGGGGATGGTGATGATGGAGTCGTACTCGAACATGATTCGGATCACCGATGTCCAAGTGCTGAACGGACAGCACCTCCGCGTTCAACACACATACGGGACGGGAGACGTCTCCTCCGTCTTGATCCAGCAAGGAGGAAGGAGAGGTTGAGGAAGGCAGCTCCAACGGCAGCACGACGGCGTGGTGCAGCTGATGCGGCAGTATTCCGACAGGGCTTCGCCAAGCACGTACGGAGGAGGAGAGGTGTTGGGGAGGGGAGGGGCTGCGCCTTGGCTTGTGGTGTATTTCAGCCCTCCCCTCACCCCTCTATATATAGGGGAAAGGGCAAGGGGGGCCGGCCCTCT